AAAAAAAAAAAAAAAAAAAAAAAAAAAGTTCTAATGAGATCTGTTTCTTTGATGCTTCATTCTTTCTATGACTGCAATTTTACCTATACGCAATACCTACAGTTTAACATAGTTTAACCAAAAGAATACCCAGTTGACATTACTTCCTGCTTTGCAATCTCTAAGTAGATAGTGCTCTTTATATCAGCATAACCACAGCTCACTGTAACCTCAAACTCCTGGGCTCAAGTGATTCTCCCTCCTAAGTCTCCCAAAGTGCTAGGATCACAGATATGAGCCTTCTCCACAATCATTATTACTATAATATCATTTTATATTCTATAAATAAGAAAATCGCAATTAGAGAAGCAATTTGCTTACTTTCTTCATGTGCTTGCTTCCTCTTAATAATACAGTCTTGGAATTTTTTTCACGTGCCTGGAGTAAGACAGCAAGCCTGACAAAACCTACATCATGTTGTACTTGCCTTCTTCAACAAATAAATACATGGACGGGGCGCGGTGGTTCATGCCTGTAATCGTAGCACTCTGGAAGGCCTAGGTGGTTGGACTGGGTGAGGTCAGGGGTTTGAGATCAGCCAGAGGAAAAGCGAGACTTCCTCTCTAAAAAACTAGCCGAGTATTGTGGTGGGTCCCTGTAATATTGTGGTGAGTCTCAGCTATTCCGGAGGCTGAGAGAAGAGGATCGCTTGAGCCCAGGAGTCTTAGGATGCTGTGACGTATTATACCATGGCACTCTACAGAGGGCGACAAAGTGAGACTGTCAATAAGTAGATAAGTAAATAAATAAATAAAGATACATTGGTGTGTACGGTATTTGGCAAGATTTCTTCCAATCTTGGGGTTATATTTTAAACACAAAGGATCTGGGTAACGACAAGGACAACACAAATCCTATAATGACTTCAAAAGTGTCGAGGTATCACAATACCTGGCACAAAGTTATTAAAGGGCAGTTGCCCTGTCCAGCGCGTAACAATTTACAAGACTGCCCTTCTAAAGCCAGATTTAGATTCTATCTTTAAATACCGCGGAGGAGCTACTTTAGAACAGCGGGGATTGGAGCAGGGTCCGAGGCACTTGAGCAGATGGAGTTCACTGTTGCTTCCGACTCGGGTTTAATGGCTAACATATCAGCTAGACAGTCTCTGGGTGGGCCACACCTGCGTTCTCTATCTTTATCTGAGTTACATAGATGGGACCCCAGGTTCAGCCCCATCCCACTTTCAGATTCTTGGTTCTGGCTCTTCGAAAGCTTTGCCCCGCACAAAGATGGCGCGGAGGCGGGCTTGGCCAATGGGGAGTGGCGTTGCTCCGGGTTGCCTAGGTAACAACCAATAGGCAGCGGGAATTGTGCCTAGTGCCCGGGATGGCGGCGTCAGGAAGGGCTGGCTCTGGAGTACGTGGTGGAGAGGAACGTGATAGAAGCTAACCAGCGGAGTAAAGGTCCGGGCCGCTGAAGCCCTGTGTCGGGGTGTGACAGTCAAAGGCCGAGCCCAGGTTAGCTGGTGGCGCTGGTGGGAGGGGACTAAGAGTGTGTGATAGACCTGATAGGGACGGGGTGCTCAGTAGGAGGTGACCAGATGGGGGGCGCGGCTCCATTCCAGACGCTCTAACCCTGAGGTGGCTGCCGTGGGGGTCCCCCACCCAGGTCTCCAGCAAGCGGGGGGGCGCTGGGAATAGCAGACTTGTGTGAGCATTAGACCCTCCCCGGGCGGTAGAGCAGACACGGGTAACCGTAAGGAGCGAGGCTAGAATGCAAGAACGGCGTGAGAAAAGGTGTTGCCTGCTTGAGGTCTAGGGCTTTGTTTGCTTTGAGACTGCCTCTATCACACTCTGGTGGAGAGAACTCTAATACATCGAGGCCTGGGTTAATTGTACGCGAGGATTAGTTGGTGGGTGGCATCCCTGTGATCTAGCATCTCCAAACTGCTTAGGCACCAGCAGGAAGCCCAGCCCATGCATTCTCTTTACTCTTGAAATGCAGTAGTTTTATGACAGTATTACTCCCTAGTGTCCATCACCCACAAGTCGTTGTCCTTGTTTATTATTATTATTTAAACCTTCTTTCTGGTAACAGTATTTTCTTCTGCTCTTTTCAATCTAACCGTCCCACAATCTACCTAAATGAGACCTCCGTATAGTAATGATACATGCTTTAGTTTTCTTTTTTTTTTTTTTCTTTTTGTCTCTGTTTATAGCTCTCGGTAGAGTATCGTGGCGTCATAGCTCACAACAACCTCAAACTCTTGGGCTCAAGCGATTCTCTTGCCTCAGCCTCCCAGATAGCTAGGACTACACGTGCCTGCCACAACGCCTGGCTACTTTTTTTTTTTTTAATGGAAGGAGGTCTCGCTCTGGCTCAGGAAGGTCTCTAACCTTAACTCAGGCAATCCACCTGCCTCGGCCTCCCAGAGTGCTAGGATTACCGGCGTGATCCACCCCACCCAGCCTCATTTGTTCACTTTTCACATGGTTAAAAGGGAGGTTAGACTTAAAATTAAAGAAAAAAAGCAGTTATTTCAATTTTTTTTTTTTTATACACAGAGTTTCACTTTATCTCCCTTGGCAGAGTGCCATGGCATCACAGCTTACAGCAACCTCCAACTCCTGGGCTTAGGCGATTCTCTTGCCTCAGCCTCCCGAGTAGCTGGGACTGCAGGCACCCGCCACAACGCGGGGCTATTTTGTTGTTGTTGTTGTTGTTGTTGCAATTTGGCCGGGGCTGGGTTTGAACCCGCCACCCTCGGTATATGGGGCTGGCATCCTACCCACTGAGCCACAGGAGCCGCCCATATTTCAGATTCATTTTAAAACGTGTAAAAGATATTTGACTTTTTTTTTTTTTTTTTAAGGCAGAGCCTCAAGCTGTCCCCCTGGGCAGAGTGCCGTGGCATTACAGCTCACAGCAACCTCCCACTCCTGGGCTCAAGCGAGTCTCTTGCCTCCGCCTCCCAAGTAGCTGGGACCACAGGCGCCCGCCACAACGCCTGGCTATTTTTTGGTTGCAGCCGTCATTGTTGTTTGGCGGGTTGGGGCTGGGGATTCGAACCCGCCACCTTAGGTGTATGTGGCTGGCGCCCTAGCCCGTTGAGCTATAGGCGCCGAGCCATATTTGACTTTTTATTCTAGATTCCTAACAAGCCTAATCTTTGTTCATCACAGCTTTCATTTTCTTCTCTTTTAGGATTGTAAAAGCCTGGAACTGCTTTCTTTGTAACTAAAAGAATTTTGACAATACTGCCCTACTGTGGGAGGGGTGGCTTTGGGAAGGAAATGTGAAGGTATATGTGGGTAGTTAAGGTGGCTGACTCCAAACAATATTCTCTAAATGAAAATGAATGTTCTCCCCTTTATGTTAATTTTTATATCTTCTTAATTTGGGAACAGGTTACTATGAATACTTAATTAGTTTGGTTTCTTAAAATTGAAAATGAAAACAAAAATTCTCATTGTCTCACAGTTCTGTTTGGAAATGTCTGGGGCAAAATAAAGATAGCAGGAATGTATTCTATTGTGCAGACTTATAGTGTGCTGGTTTACAGGGACAAAATAGTAATTTTCTTTTATGTAAATGTTTGGATTAATTCTTTGCAGCCCATCTGTCAAGAGCGCAGAAAGGGTGGGTGTCTGTTTAGAAGCATGAATCATCTTGGCTTGTGACTAGATCCCATGTGTGTATCTGGAGCCTAACCCCCTAGGCCATCTATTCTCTTTTAAGAGATTATTTGGATGACTGAAACAAATACTGATTTGCATCCCTTATTAAAGTGTCAGGCTTCTCAGTCTTCATCAGCACTAGCTGTACTTTATTAAACTAGATTTGTCTCAACGAATGTGGATGCTGGTGAAATTTCTTTTTGGGTCAGTGGCTGTAAATTAGCTATAAATTAGGAAGGCTAATTACAGAAGTCAAATTAAGATCCTGACAGTGTCCCAGATAGTGACAAAATCAATTTTTTTGGAACATGTAACAGTTTCTAGCCAAATGTATTCAACAGTGGCTTGAGACCCATGGATTCTACATATGTTCCTTTTTTTTTTCCGAGACAGAGTCTCACTATGTCACCCTTGATAGAGTGCCGTGACATCACAGCTCACAAGCAACCTCAAACTCTTAGGCTTAAGCGATTGTCTTGCCTTAGCCTCCCAAGTAGCTGGGACTACAGGTGCCCGCCACAACACCTAGCTGTTTTTTGGTTGTAGTTGTCATTGTTGTTTGGTAGTCCCTGGATGGGTTCGAACCCACCAGCTCCAGTGTAGGTGGCTGGCACCCTAGCCGCTGAGCTACAGGCCCTGAGCCCATATGTTCCTTTTATTTATTTTTTATTTGTTTATTTATTTATTTATTTTTAGAGACAGAGTCTCACTTTATAGCCCTTGGTAGAGTGCCATGGCGTCACAGCTCACAGCAACCTCCAACTTCTGGGCTTAGGCGATTCTCTTACCTTGACCTTCCCAAGTAGCTGGGACTACGGGAGCCCGCCACAATGTCCGGCTATTTTTTTTATCTTTTTTTTTTTTTTTCAGTTTTTGGCCAAAGCTGGGTTTGAACCCTCCACCTCTGGCATATGGAGCCAGCGCCCTAGTCCTTTGAGCCACAGGCACCGCTCCCAGCTATTTTTTTTGTTGCAATTTGGCTGGGGCCAGGTTCGAACCCACCACCCTCTTTATATCCGGCTGGCACCCTACCCACTGGGCCACAGGTGCCACCCCATATATTCCTTTTATTTATTATTTATTTATTTATTTATTTTGAGATAGAGCCTCAAGCTGTCCCCCTGGATAGAGTGCTGTGGCATGACAGCTCACAGCAACCTCCAATTCTTGGGCTCAAGTGAGTCTCCTCTCTCCGCCTCCCAAGCAGCTGGGACCACAGGCACCCACCACAACACCCTGGCTATTTTTTGGTTGCAGCCATCTTTGTTGTCTGGCAGGCCCAGGCTGGATTCAAACCTGTCACCTTAGGTGTATGTGGCTGGCGCCTTAGCCACCTGAGCCAAAGGTGCCGAGCCGCCCCATATATTCCTTTTAATTAGCACTTCTGATTATAGTGATAGAGACTGGACATCATTTTGGCAAGCATCTGCCAAGGGGAATTTGCTATATCTCTCTGTATCAAAAAGGAATGAAAATTTTTAGTAGGTACTATTGAAAATCCTAGAAGATGGTAGCAAGGTTAGGTTGAGAGATGGTGTTCCAGTTACTATTGCTGTCTTACAAATTACGCCCAAATGAGTGGAAGCTCTTTTAGAGATGTTTGGGGCTAGTCCCATAGGATTTTCTCCCTTTTCCAGTTATCACTCAGGAACTCCATGCCCAGTATCTCTCACACAGGCACTATCTGAGGTAAGGACCATTTTCTTCTAGCACTAAAGCCCCTTTAAACCTCTGGGGGCTATTTTCTGAGAGGTGATGCTGGTACCTGCTTTGCCATCTCTGTCCTATCAATGGCCCACAAGATCAGCATCTAATTTCAGGCTCACAAACCTCTTATCGTCAGCCCAGCATCAGAATGTGCAGAGGTCGACATGACTCCATTGCAAATGCAACATTAATGAGAGGAAGAGAAGCAGTTTTCCATGACAACTGCAGAAGAAACTCTCCAGTCCAGACAAGCAGTTTGATAGCCATTGGCCACTTTCATCTCTCCCCAGAACTAATTAAGTCACAGCACTAGTCAGCTTATGGTACAGATTTCATTCCTTCAAAATGTGTCAGTAAGACTCTAAAGGACTGTATCTTCTACTAAATCTTAAAATTAAACAACCAGGCTGTGTGCAGTGGCTCACGCCTGTAATCCTAGCACTTTGAGAGGCAGTTGAATTGCTTAAACTCAGGAGTTTAAGACTAGCCTGAAAAAGAGTGAGACTTCATTTCCACTAAAAATGGAAAAACTAAGCCAAATGCAGTGGCGCATACTATAATCCTAGTACTCTGGGAGGTTGAGGCAGGTGGATCACCTGAGTTCAAGAGTTTGAGACCAGTCTTAGCAAGAGCAAGACCCCCATCTCTACTAAAACTAGAGAAACTAGCTGGGCATTGTGGTGGGTGCCTATAGTCCCAGCTACTTGTGAGGCTGAGGCAAAAGTTTCACTTGAGCCCAAGAGTTTGAGTTTGCTGTGAGCTATGACACAACGTCACTCTACCCAGGGCAACAGACTAAGACTGTCTCTGAAAAAAAAAAAATAATTAAACAACCATTCCAAAACATAAATACACGGTCTCGGCACCTGTGGCTCAGCAGCTAGGGCACCAGCGACATACACCGGAGTTGGCAGATTTGAACCTAGCCCAGGCCTGCCAAACAACAATGGCAACTACAACCAAAAAATAGCCAGGCGTTGTGGCAGGCACCTGTAGTCCCAGCTACTTGAGAGGCTGAAGCAAGAGACTCACTTAAGCCCAAGAGTTTGAGGTTTCTGTGATCTGTGATGCCACGGCACTCTACTTAGGGCAACATAGTGAGACTCTGTCTGGAGGAGAGGGAAACTTAAATG